GAGAATTAGAGTTCCCGCTGCACCTCTTCCATTTGGGCTCACATTACTATCCTGAAGAAATTTTTACTAATCATTTCTGAGGTCCCAACTGAGGGAATGCTTTTTGTGGGTTTTCCTCATTCTTGAACAAACTCAGCATCCTCATTCAGGAGAGAAAGCAGAAACAGTACCTAAAACTCCAACAAGGATCTCTGCCTCTGAGCTCCTGCGGGTCCTTTGCACCAAACTACTGGGTGGAATAGCTGTCATTGTACCCAGTGGGGGTATGAGACATCAGGGGCTCAGATAGGTTAATTAATCCATCCATGATTTTATAGGCAAAAAGGTAGAAATCTGAGACTTCAATTCTAAGGTGCTCTTCTACTTGGTTCTAGGCTCTTGGATGTAATCTCACAGAGTTCTAAGGCAATTTTTAAAAAGCTCTGAGCTTCATTTGTGAATATGGTTTAATAAATTATTATGTCCAAACCAAAAAAAAAAAAAGAAAGAAAGCACTTTGGCATTATTTTTCATTAGATATATATAATACATGTGCATTTCGTTTTCCTTTATCACCTCAATAGGAGGTTAGTCTAATGCATAATGAATCTATATTATTTGGACATGTTTATAAAAAATACAAAGTTTTTAGTGGATTTTTTTTTCATTGACTCCTGATACTTGAAATGTGAAATAAGCCATAGTCAATAGGGTTTTGAACTGATTATTCAGTATCACATCTTTTAATACAAGATACATGTCAAGATGCTTTTTAACCTGATATAATAATTCTTACTGTAATTTTGAGGTTCGAGGGATAAAACAAGATGTAAGTGTATTTCTTGGATAATATAAAAATATTCATGACCAGTGATTTAAAAAAATTACTGTTAGTGTAACTGAAATTATTAGAATGTATAAAAGAATATGGTCTTTGGAAAAAAATTGCACATTAATATAACTTAGTTTGAAATAATAACCATTTATGTTTGAAGTGGATCCATAGGCTTCTTGAAAAATGGGATTTTGTTCTTTTTGACTTTTACCTGTTTATGTGAAAGAAGCAGAATTGAAGAACTGAAGATGTCTTTAAAGTAGTAGAACAAATAAAATGATTGGTCTGTGAATTTGACGTTCTTTGCAGGGTCATATAGATTTAAAAAGGAAACTTTTAGTGAAGGATCTGAGGAAGTAAAATGGATTAAAAACGTCCCAGGTATATTAGACAAAATTTTTGACAATTTGTGTTTCCTCTCTCACTTTCTGTGATATGATCAATTAATATTAATCATTTTTGTGGATTCTGAAAAACTTTGGCTAACTTCCTTGCCTTTTCCTGCTTTGCTGGGTGTATTTTTCAGTGCGTGGAACAATTAACCTTTCATTGCTACTGAGAAAGCCACTGGTAGGCTAGTAGAGCAAGAAGAAACCAAGGGCTGTGTTGACTGAGGTATTTTTTAAAAATATTTTTTTAAAATTAATTTCAGAGATGAAAGGAGAGAGAGAGAGAGAGATGGAAACATCAACGATGAAAGAATCATGCCCCCTCCTGGGGATTGAGCCCACAAACCTGGGCATGTGCCCTGACTGGACTGGAAATCTGACCTCCTGGTTTATAGGTCGATGTTCTACCACTGAGTTACTCCAGCTGGGCAGTGGCTGAGGTCTTGACCCAAAGAAGAGCGAGGGTTGATGCAACCAACATGTGGAAAATCTATCTTAAGAATTTATTCAGTAGAGGGGGTGGGTGGAGGTGGAAGAGAGCATAGAAGGGATAAATGATAATGGGAAAAATAAAATAAAATAAACTACAATAAATTAAAAGAAAATAATTTATTCAACACTAAACATTTTTACTCCAAAGTTATAATTTTATCTAGTTTTAGAAGTGGTGAAATAAAAGCCCTTCAGCAAAAGAAGGTTTCTAGAGAAAGGACGAGATCATCACATCACTTTTCACTTCTACCTTGTATGTTGATGACACCATCAGTACCAACAGCTCAGATGCGTCCTGTCTCTAGGGAGGCTCAGTTCCCCATAGACTTCATGGAGTAGGGATTTAGTTTGGTCTTAATAAACACTGATAATAGGATCACTTTAATCAACACTTGTATTTTGAGGGCTTATTAATCTCTTAATTTTTTTTTCTCTAAGGGAAACTTAAGATTTTATGGGTGTGATATAAAGCTATAAAAAATATGCTATTTATTTAGACTGTCCAAAGGAATAAAATAAGGGCATATAAATAAAATTTATTTGTGTTCACCTCAGGTACATAGGTGACATTTAATTATATGATGATGAAATCATCATGTTAACCCTTCTTTCTTTTGGTAAAATTTGAGCTAAGTATACAAAGCCACGTACCCAAATTAATTTTTTTTAATTGTTTTCAGAAGGTGATTTGTGCTTATCTACCAAGAGTTCCAAAAAGAATGACAAAAATTGTTTTTCCTGACAGGCCTTCGGAGTTATATAACCCAATGCTTCACACATTTCTGTTTGCCAGCAGAATTGTCTCTGGAGCTTTTTAATAAGAATATTGGGCCCAGCCATTGTCACTGAGTGGTTTAATATCGACCCATACACCAAGAGGTCATGGGTTCAATTTCTGGTCAGGATTGCCGGCTTGTTCCCCAGTATGGAGTGTGCAGAGGACAGCTGATAGATGTTTCCCATCGATGTTTCTCTCTCTCTCCTCCCTTCTCTCTCCAAAATTAATAAAAAATGTATAAAAAATAAAAGTATGTTAAGAAAGGAAATCTTTGAGAAAAAAAAAAGAATATTGGTAGGGGATTATTTGTCCCGAAGATGGACAATCACACAGGTATACAAACACCTTCTTCCCAGAATTCAATTGGGAATAAGCAGTTGGTCTGCATATAGGAGCGTCTGTATAGAAAAGTCTGGACTGCTCAGGGGATTTGTAGACATTTTCCCAATGGCCTGCACTAGGACCAGCTTTTTTTCCCAGTTAGAAAAAATGTTGGCAAAATCTGCTCCGTAATGAAAAGAAATGAGCTATTGATATGTACAGCAACCTAGGTGAATCTTAAGATAATTATATTGGGTGAACAAAGCCAGATAAAAAAGAGTATATTCTATATGATTCCACTTTTCTCCTCTATAGTGACAGAAAAGAGATCAGTGGTTGCTGGGGAAAGTGGGGGTGAGGAGAAAAGAAAGGTAGGGGCGATGGGCAGATAGAATTACAAAAGGACATGAGGAAACTTTTGGGGGTGATGGATATATGTTCATTGTATTTATTGTGATGACAGTTTCATGGATGTTTACATATGTCAACATATGTCAAATTATACACAATATGTGCAGTTTAATATTTGTCTATTATACTACATGTATAATAAAGGGGGAAATATTGTATTACTATTCTAAACAGAAGTCAGTTATTCACTTGCCTCAGATAGCAGGGACCTAGAAAATAAATACATCTAAAACAGAACAATGAAAGGAAAATCTACCTTCTTCTATGTAATTCGGGGCATAGGAAAGATCCCCTTGTCTCATAATTCCCTTCTCATTGGATTTTCAATTCTTGAAATATCTTTTTTGATGGGCGGGGGAATGTTTTAATTGTCAAGAGTAGGAGTTTTGGAGTCAGGCAGACCTGGGTTTAGCTTAGTCATTTGCTAGCTGTGTACCTTTGGGCAAGACACTGACCTTTCTAATAGTTTTTCTCTCTATTTATGAAATAAGATGATAGAAGTAGGCATAGTAAATGCTCAATAAATGGAAGCAAGTTTTGTTATTATTTTTATTTATTTCACATTCTGATTCCCACTAGGTTTTAAATGCAAATATTCTTGGATGAGAAAAGACAGTGTTTTCAATTCACAGAGGGGCGTGTTACCATGGAGAAACATAATCAGGAATGTTGCCTCAAAGAAGAGAAAGATCATGACCCAGAGTGAAAGGAGCATAGGGTCTGACTCTAGGCCAGTGACGGCGAACCTTTTGAGCTCGGTGTGTCAGCATTTTGAAAAACCCTAACTTAACTCTGGTGCCGTGTCACATATAGAAATTTTTTTGATATTTGCAACCATAGTAAAACAAAGACTTATGTTTTTGATATTTATTTTATATATTTAAATGCCATTTAACAAAAATGAGTTCGCATGTCACCTCTGACACGCGTGTCATAGGTTCGCCATCACTGCTCTAGAACATAGGTGATTTGCCCACTTTTGTGTGTGTTTTTCACATTGGGCTTCTTCTCATCTGATTTCTCTGCTTTTAGTAATCTCTGTGCTTTGCAGGCTTTGCTTTGAATTCATTAGTCTTTCCCTTTGTTAGATAATATCATTGTTATAAGTACCATATTTATGATTGCTTATTGAGAAATTCATTCTGCCATTGAGCATGTACTTTGTTTCTTTAGAAGTAGGTTTAGCAGTCATCTGTAAAAAAAAGTTTTGACTTTTTAAATGTTTTACTTAAATTCAGCTGATCTTATTTTAACTTTTATTAGCTCATAAACTTTAATTTAAAAATTATGAAAATGAAAATTAATTGGGTTATTCTAAATTGGCCATGTTGTTGATATGCAAGTTTGAAGGGCAATACAGTAAAATATTTTTACTTTAACTCTGAAAAGATGCCATTTAC